GTTAGGCGTGACCTATTGGGTGAGCTGCACACACACAAAGAGGAATACATTACACTTTATGGGTCCTATGAAAGGTTTGAAGAATTGACAAGCATATTGTCATACTTTGAAGACAGTCCTGGATACTCACATTGGATAACTATGCCAGACATGGGCCATATTTACAGTTTCGAATTGCAAATTAATCTTTATAATGCCATTAAAAATTTGTAATGTTATACAAAACATGCAGGAATATGTGTCAACTCAAGGAAGTCAGGTTTGCGCGAATTTTGTGTTAGATTACACCACTCATTTCACAACTGAACAGGTTCAGTCTACGAAATTATAACGATTATGTTTTGAATTGCTCACCAAATGTAAATGTTTGATAATATTTATTTGACTTTGTAGGTATTCAAAAGTAAGGATGAATTGCTCAACTGGGTACGTGAAGTTGGAAAGAGAAATGGTTTGGTCATTGTAATCAAAACATCAGACTATGGTGGAGGGAAAAAAAGACCCAAGATGTATCTTGCTTGTGAGAGGAGTGGCCAATATAGAGTGACAAAGAAGTTAAAACATGATGGCAACAATACATCAAGAATAACTGGTACAAAGAAGTGTGGTTGTCCCTTTGATATGAGGGCTCACAGGTTTACCACACATGATGAATGGACATTGACCGTAGTATGCAGATTTCATAATCATCCACCTGCGGAGCACCTTGAGGGACATTCATATGCGGGAGGCTGTCAAAGGATGAGAAAGCATTGTTAATGGATATGTCAAAGAGTATGGCTCGGCCAAAAGAAATCCTAGTAACCTTGAAACCATTTACAATGTACGCCATCGAAACAGGGTGGTACAAAGAGCTGGAAGATCACAGATGCAACACTTATTGAGTGAATTGGCCCAGTATAATTACATTAAGCGCCATCGGTCTGAAGAGTCCACGATGACTGTGACAGACTTGTATTGGGCACATCCTACCAGTTTGGACTTATTTCGGTCTTTTCCACATATATTAATTATGGATTGCACATATAAAACCAACATATATCGTCTTCTTTTTCTTGAAATTATGGGAGTGACATCAACTGAAATGACTTTCTCTATAGCTTTCGCATACTTACAGTATGAGAGGGTCGATAACTATGCGTGGGTGTTAGCTACATTGCGTGATGTCATGGATGGTTTTGTTGTGCCAACAATTATTGTTACTGACAGAGAGCTAGCCTTGATGAATGCCATACAGAAGATATTCCCGAGTGCTCATCATTTATTATGTTGTTGGCATATTAATAAGAATGTATTGACCAAATGCAAGAAAATGTTTGAGACACAGCAGAAATGGGAGAAGTTCAACCATGAGTGAAACTCTTTAGTGTATTCATCTTCTGAAATTCAATACGATGAGCGTCTTAAATCATTACTTAAGGAATTCAATAGTTATCCTGATGCAGTCAAATACGCCATGGATACTTGGTTGGTTCCTTACAAGGACAAATTTGTGGCGGCATGGACAGACACGTGTATGCATTGTGGCAATGTTACAACGAACCGGTAAGATTACTTTTGTTCAATATGTTATTAATAAGTGCCATGTACTTGATTTTAATTTGACTTACATTGAATTGAACAGGGCTGAGAGTGCACATGCAAAACTTAATAGACAATTGGGTTCATGTCAAGTCTCATTTTAGGCATCATTTGAGAAAATACACAGTCTGCTTGAGTTGCAACACACTGATATCAAGGCTTCATTTGAGAAAAGTCTAACTGTTGTGCAACATCAATTTAAACCTTTTCAGTATAGGGAGCTACGGGGTAATGTGTCTATCTCTGCATTGGAGTATTTGCTTGTAGAGAGTAAGAGAGCCAATTCCATTGGTATTGATGTTGAAGTTTGTGGATGCGTCCTTCGCCACACTCATGGTTTACCTTGTGCCCACTACATCAGACAAGATCGTCCTATACCACTTGCTACCGTACACTCACAGTAGAGGCAACTTCATATCTCCATATGCAAGAAAGAAGAGGAAACAGAGGTGAGTTGTCGTGCAGAAGTACAGTTATTTGTGAACAAGTTTAATGAAAGTGATAGAACCATGCGGTTAGAGCTTTTGAAGAAGTTAAAAGAGATTGTATATCCGGGAAGCACTTTTCTTGTTGAGCCGGAGGTGAAGCCCAAAACACATCCTTGGGATCATAAGAAGATCAATGTTTCTACCTGTCGTGACCCATGTGCATTTGAGTTGGTGCAATCTGGACATGATTCCTTCTCACATAGGGACACTCAAATCACTACATTAGCTTCTACTCTGGAAACCAAGAAGAAGCGACCTGTTAAGGAAAAGGAGAAGGTGAATGCAAAAGGGAAGGTATACATTATTAGAACAGTGAAACCTGGTGCATATGTTGATGCTTTCCCTTCTGGGTTGAAACCATACATTAAGTTTGTCAAGGATGTAGCTGCAGATGGGAATTGTGGTTTCAGGGCTATAGTTACTTCAATTGGTCATACAGAAGATGACTGGGCTCAGGTTAGATGTGATCTGTTGGGTGAACTGCACACACATAAAGAGGAATACATTACATTTTATGGGTCCTACGAAAGGATTAAAGAATTGACAAGCATATTGTCATACTTTGTAGACAGTCCTAGATACTCACATTGGATGAGTATGCTAGACATGGGGCATCTTGTTGCATTGTCCTACAATCTTGTGTTATACCACTTGTCATTACAGCAATGTCTCACCTTTTTACCTCTTAGAACAGTGTCAGTACCTCAACTTGATAGACGTGAGATTGCCATTGGGTTTGTCAACGGAAATCATTTCATCCAGGTATAACAGAAACTTATAAATTTGTGCATGTACAAGAAGTTATGAGGTATGACCACTAACTCAATTGATATTTGGTGCAGGTTTTGTTGCAGCCAGGCCATCCAGTTCCTCTTATAGCCACTAATTGACGAAAATACCGTCACCCTTGCGCTGTCGACTGGGATGATGCATATGTGCGTCGCATTCAACATTTCAAGGACATTATTCATGATAATGTAGCTACTCGAGAGACATTTGATGTTGTTGATGTCGCATGACACATGTATGCATTTGACAATGTTAGAATTATGGAAGAAATTAATGGATGTGTTTTTGATGTTGATGTGTTCTGTGGTATGGATTGAATGTTATCGACCATTGTTACCATTCCATTGTAATAAGAAAATATCATTTACAAAATCAACGACCATTGCTACCATTCCATTCTAATAATAAAATGTCATTTTCAATGGTATTAACCTTTATTGCCATTTCATTCTAATAAGAAAATATTAACCATTGTTACCATTACAACAATATCATCTTACAAAAAACACCACAAAAAATTCATCAACTAACAAATAACATGTCACGAATTAGCTGTATGCCTACGCCTAGGCCTACGACTGTATGTCAATGGCGAAAATGGAAAGCAACCTCCAGTATAACTAGGTCCAGCAGAACTAGGTCTAGCTTCGTCAATGTGCTAACCTTGAAGGACATGCGTCATACTCTCGATAGCCTGGTAAAGTCGATGAGGATGTTGAATCCCCTCCTCATAACCAGTGTCAATAATAGGATGTGAAATCTGCAGTGCATGTGCAATACGCTGCATTTCAAAAGAATATCACATTTTAGGGAACATATCAGAAAATAAAAAGTAAGTTACAAATGCATAAAAGAGGATAATATATTACATCGGCATGTTGGCTGAAATCCTGATGGTCATGGACACGCGGTTCATCAGTGTGCTCAACATATAGGTGCGTGATATTCTTATACCTATCCATGTAACCCAGTACACATTCCCAGGCTGACGAACTAGTGTGTTTCTCTGTTGCTCAAATAACACGTGGTTATCCCAAGCCTCTCAGATCCTATCCAAGTATCTGTACATGACTGTATATCATGCAGATATGTTGCCTCGAGCACCACGACTGGGAGCTAGCGGTGCATCTGGGATGGTTTGAACCCTGCCAAACTACCTCAACACTCTATCTGGATGATAGGGTTCGACAACGTCTAAGCACTTTAAGCATCCATGGTAGAACGTAACCGGGTTACATGGATGCCGGTCTCTGCAGCTGTGGTATGGATCTCAAATAACCTGTAAACATAAAGTGTTTTTTAATTAAAGTATATAAAGGGTAAGATAAATGGAAAGTGTTAAAATTATCTCAAGACAAGTAAACTTACATCAGTAGCTACCAAACTGTCAAGCTCGGCTCGAAAAGATTTCAAATGATCAATGGAGGAACCCGCCTCTCTCTTAGATGCCCAATGGTACACGTGTGGCATGTCTTCATTGTAGCCCATGTTCTGGTGAGGTCGGAATGCTCGGAAGTGCTCATAAATCCATGTCTCCAAAAGAGTCATATAACCACCCATCTGCTTAACCCCGGACCGGCTAGCATACCCCAACTGTCTGTATAAAAATGCTAATTCAGCAGCACCCTAGGCGTAAGCATGAATGGATCCCAAATCCATTAATAAGCCAAGGTAAACAATAGGAACCCTACCGCCACTCTTGTCACTGAATAGTGTACATCCCAACAGAAACAACAAATAAGCTTTAGCAGCGCACTGCATAGCCTCCTCGGGGTCTGAATCTGTGACACCAGCAAACTGACTTCGCAACCACTCAAGCCTGACTGAATTGCCACCAGCAGTAGAAATCTCTTCATATGCTACACGTTCAGTAATCCCCAAGCCAGAAACTAGTAGTGTAACTCCATGATGATCCGTCACATCTGGTACGCCGACTGATCTGCCTACAATGAGAAGGATAAGAATATTGCCAACATCATCCAAAGTCAACGTCATCACATCAACTGTCATGTGAAATGTGTTCGTCTCAGGTTGTCATCTCTCAACAAAACTGGAGATTAGAAGCTTATTGACAAACTGATAAGTGCAACGAACTAACTGTGACAGCCTAGACTGCTCAATAATGGCTTTGAATCTGGTGTTGTTGTCTACTGACCACCATGGCCATGCAAGGATCTTCGAAGAATGATTATGACACTTTAGGGGCCCTCGTTCCTATAACACAAATGATATCTCATTAGAAACTACCATGCAACACACAAAAAAAAAAAAAAAACTTATATACAAATGAATTTCACTTCTACTCAGGAATATTTACCTCCCCGTGCCAAATAGCTGTAGTGACATGACTATTGAAACTCCGCAGTATTGATGGATCAGTCGGTCCACCTGGAAAAGCATGAGTAAGGTACTTTTCCTGGACAGTAGGAGAATCGGGTAAAGAGGCGTCCTTCACAGCAATGTCATGCATATCATAGTTTGGAACTCGTCTTTGGCTTCGGCTTCGGCTTCGACTTTGACTGGCACTGGGGATATCATATTCTACCGAAATTGGATCACGACCTTGACCACGACCTCGACCTCGTCCTCGCCCACGCCCTTGTCCCCGTTTATGGTCAACATCCAATTCACGACGTCGTCTATTTGAAGCAGTAAGTGGGACACGTTGTTGATATTCAAAATTCATATTATCTGCAAAAATTAATACGTTTGATGATTATACAAATGTAAAAAGAATATACAAAAGAAGGGAGGGAAAAAAAAAACGCTGTTCGGAAGTTGAAAACCGAAAGTATATACACTGTTCGGGAGTTGAAAACCAAAACAAAAAATTAATTTCGGAAGTTGATTGTTGTCCGAATTTAAACTATTCGGAAGTTGACTGCCGAAATAATCAAAATTTTATGAAAACCTACTGTTGAAATAAATCACTAATTTCGGATTCCTACTTCCGAACAAATTCCTTAATTTCGGAAAACCAGTTCCGAACAATTTGTTTACACTTCGTGGGCCTTCGTTCGTTTTCAAAATGATAAAAACAAAACTCTACATTTCAAATTAAATAGGAATGAAGATTGAAAAGCAAACTCACCTAAATACGAATGAAGATTGAAAATGTGTTGGAATGCTTCAATGTGATGTCTTGATAGATGGAGTTTTGGGGATGAAAGCTGTGTGAAGCTTCTACTATGGGGTAATGTCATCAATACGGTAAGCTTCACGATCGAAGATGTAGCTTCAGCTTCAATGGGCACCGTTGGGAAAGCTGGGTTTGGGGTCGGGGGTACGTGTGTGTGTATGAGGGTAGATGTGGAATCAACCGTGTGTGCAGTGAGTAAATTAATTAGGATTTAATTTTTTTGGTGTGTGCAGTGAGGAGGATGTGCAAAGAGTGTATTTGGTGTGTGTAAATAGATGCTCCCACGTTGCAGTTAAGACTTCATTGGTACAATTCGCTCTCATTTTGAATTTGAAAAGGAAGGGCAAATTACAAACACCCCCTAAAGGTTTGGTGAAAATACAGATTCCCTCTGAGGTTTGAGAAATTAAACCCACCCCCTGAGGTTTATATTTCCATAACAAATTGCCCCCTGAAATTTTTATTTTTATACAGATTCCCTCATAATTTCTCTTAATTTGTCTTGAAAATTTAGGTTTATATTTCCATAACAAATTACCCCATGAGGTTTTTATTTTCATACAGATTTTCTCTTAATTTTTCCTAATTTGTCTTGAAAATTTGACGCTTAAAAGATAATTTATAATTTTTTAAACCTCAGAAAAATCGGTATTTTTACCAAATCTTTAGGATATTTGTAATTTGGCCAAAAAGGAAGTAGCCTAGCCCTAGATCAATGGCTTAGAAGTCACCTGGAAGGTCCTAGATTTTTCCAACTTGGGTAATGAGCAATTTGTAACCCATAGTTGTTCTCCAGAAGCTTGATAACCAAACTCTCCTTCTAAGTTCTCCTAATTAAGCTCAGTTCAGTAAGAGCTTTGAGCTTCTTCATGCTTCTGGAGAGATGATCTTGTTCCTCGGGGGGTTTTGAGGACTATTTTTGACTCAACAACGTGTATTATAGAATTTCCGGTTCCTGTTACAGTGTAATGTAATGGCCATAATGTCAAAATTCTATTCTATATAAATAACTCTATCACTTCACTGCACTTGAGTTTCGTGATCAACTCTAACTCTCTCTCTCTCTCTCTCTCTCTCTCTCATAGATTAGAGACCCAGCTTCTTCAAAGCTCAGCAATGGCGTTTTCGTCCTGGTTCTCTCGTTTACGTTGTTCCTCAAAACCCATTTACACTAACCTCCGATATTCTCTAAATAGGACCCAAACCTCTCACATTACACAGACCCTGATTCCAGACAAGAAACAAACACCAATCCTTTCATGGGTTTGCTCTTTGCTTCCAATCGCCATCGCTGTCTCTGCTGGATCACTTTCTCTCCAGACCCAGAACAACCCATCACTCTGTGATGCCTCCAATCTTGATCATGGGTATTTAATTCATTCAACCCATTTCATACTTTTTTATCTTTTATTTTTTGAATTTTATATGTTCTGTCTGATATAATATGTTGTGTCCACTTTCAAATACTCAATTTAGTCGATGAAAAATGTGGAATTGGTTTAGAGGATTGTATGGAAATTAAATTATTGGTTTTTTTTTTTTGTTTTCTCCAGAGGTGCGAGCTTTGGGGGCAAGGGTAGCACAGAGTATGTGGTGAAGGGTTCTCACAAGGATGTTCCACGAGAGCTTATTGATGAATTGAAAGCTATTTGCCAAGTATTCTATCACTTCCCTCTTCATTATTAGTATCGTATAAATTTTGGAGACTTCTTGGGTGTTAATCATCTTAATTTTCTGCATATAAATATTCTATTCAACAACTACTAAAAGTGAATGGTTTGGATCACCAGGTCGGCCCCAAAATGGGTGCACCAAACCCAAACGTTCTCTGAAGTTGAAATGGCCAACCTCCATACCCTTTTTGTTATATTCTATTGAGAATTTGCCATATTTACTTCACAAATGATTATTTCTCATAATTTTCTACAATCCTCAGCAATCAAAATAGCATTGATTATTTTTATTATTAGTATTATTACTTTTGAATCGAAATATAAAGTGCTTTAGTAGATGTTTAATATTCTGTTGGGAATGGACACATTTCATTATGCAGGATAGTATGACAATGGATTTTGATGAGAGGTACTTCCATGGGAAGCCACAAAATAGCTTCCACAAAGCAGTGAATATCCCTGATGTGGTTGTTTTTCCAAGGTGAGATTGGGCTTTTTTTTAACTTGGAAACTATAATATCGTTTATTTTTATAATTCGGCACTTGTATTTATTTTTCGTTATTTTTCATTTTTGTTGTGTTGGTCCCAGTGTACACCATGAGCTCGTGCATTCAAAAGAAACGGGACATTTTATTTGTTCACTGAATGCTCATAATTGATATGTTGCTTCTGTTTTCATCTACTCTTGAGAAAATCTATGCATGATGCAGATCCTATTTTAGCTATTGATAGTGGACATAGACTTGACTTGTGTCTTGAATTTGTTCATTATTGATTCGTACGCTATTACTTCAACATTTCATGATATCCGTAGAATTTTCGTCTAACTTGAAATAATACATGCAGTCCTTGGTGTTAGTTTGGTTGTTATCACAAATATGAGATACGGGATAAGACTGTCTATTGTAAAGATGGTTCATCAAGCTATTTTTTAGTAGTCCTTTTCTCCATTTTTTTGTGGTCTGCTCAGTAGTACATTGTGTAGTGTATCCTAGTTTTCTCTTCAAAATGCACCTTAACTGTAGTTTGTGCATGCAGGGATGCAGAGGAAGTGTCCAATATAGTCAAATCTTGTAATAAGTATAAGGTCTGAGCTCCTTGCTTTTGAGGGTTGTCTGATTTTTCTCTTTTTCTTTCAATTGTTTCTTATGGTTTTTCAGTTGCTAATATATAGTGTGAATGGGCAACTCTTCTTTTATGCATTTGTGTTTTGGGCTATTGGATTGTTCAAACTGATAATTATTTGTATCCATTCATTAGGCATGAAAATCCAAATTTGAAATGCAAAAAAGAACCAAATATAATGCTTGTTTTTTACTTAACATATACATATTCACTATAAATAATTTTGGCCAGCTTACACAAGTTATAAACTGGCTTATTTATTTGAACTTTTCTTTTATTTTTTTTATAATTTATTTTCTGGTTTAATTTGATGAGCAGGTCCCTATTGTACCTTACGGTGGAGCCACATCACTCGAGGGTCATACATTATCACCTAATGGAGGTGTTTGCATTGACATGAATTTGATGAAAGTATGAGCCTGTTTCTTGTTATAAATCACGCCACATGATTTGAAGGCCCCTTTTATCAGTAAAATTTAGTTTATTGACTTTCATTAATAACTTGATTTTGTTTTAGCTATCAACCATACATTTTGGTGCTTTCTAATGCATTTTAATCTCAACATAGGGTTCGCATATGCTTGTTTTATAACGGAGGTTATTTTGAATATTTTTCTTAGGTCTATTTTGGTCCTTTGGTGATATAATGTGTAGTTCATGTCACTTATGTTTCACTAGGTTCAGGGACCCCATTTGTAGATTTTGGCTCAATCAGTAAGGCCTACTTGTTTCATGTTAGTGGTGAAGCTTGTGCAGGCTCACCTTATTGCTTTACTTCGGGTCTGTGCAGCCTCCTCTGATATTTTTTGGGCATTGTTCTTTTCTCTATGCTTTCTATCTAATATTTATGTGCGATATTTCATTATTATACTGTCTTTCATGAAATTAATCTCTTTCATGTCCATTACTTGTAGTACAATTTAAGATAGTTTGTTGGGATGGAAAGGCAGCATAGCTATAGTATGGAATTATCTATGAGGAGAAATGTGTGAGCTTCATTGAATTGATTATTATTTTCAATGAATCATTATAGCAGTTTGTTTGCATCTCTTGCATTATCCCTTGCTGTTCCTTACTTTTATTGCATGTACATTTAAATTGTAGAGAGTCAAATCATTACATGTTGAGGATATGGATGTGGTTGTTGAGCCTGGGATTGGATGGATGGAGCTTAATGAATACCTGGAGCCTTATGGTCTATTCTTTCCTCTTGACCCTGGTCAGTTTTTAATTTTTCTGTTTAATGTTTCAATAAAATTTGTGATGTCAAACATTGTTCTCTAATAAATGCCAAGGCATCTTTGGCTTTTATCAAAGCAATGCACAATGATTTGGTGCTCACTGTACAACTGATAAAATCTATGTTGCATTGGAAATAGACCTTCATATTTAATGCTGAGCTTTAGAGAAACAATGGGAAGACCTCCTACTGTTGCTTACCTTGTGAACCCTAAAGTTTTCAAAGACTAAATAGCCTGTGCAAAATCATTAACAATCAGAATTATCAACAATCATTTACAATGTTCTTAGAACTTATATTTATAGGAAGACGCCCCATAAAAACTAAACTAAGCTAAACTTTATATCATAGATTTAAACAAAAAGTAAAAAAAGAGGATGGAAAAACCTCTACTGAATGACTTTACTTTAGACCTTCATATTTAATGCTGAGCTTTAGAGAAACAATGGGAAGACCTCCTACTGTTGCTTACCTTGTGAACCCTAAAGTTTTCAAAGACTAAATAGCC